AAGCTAAGAATATTATGAGTTGTTATAGCAACATTTACCTGAAAGGAATTTTTGATGAGATTTTCTCATTTTGTTTACCTACTTTCTCTATTATATATATTCTACTTTATATATAGACTAGTGTTCATTGATATCTCAGGGAATGTGTTTGGTGCTCCTGCTGGATGGCTGCTTTGATAAGTTCGGCTGACCTCCCAGAGAGACTGCAGCTTCCAGCCAGATCAGAACTGACCCATAAACGTATATTGAAAGAGAGGACATGTTGGAAACATCCTTGGCAGTCAATGGGTTAAAAAAGAATTTAATATGTCAGCTTCTGCACTGTTCCTTTTCTGGTAAGGCATGGACTGTCTCTGTCACTACTGAACTGGCCAAATTTCCATCCTTCTATGGGCAGCTTAACTGTCATGCTCCAATAAAATCCTTCTAATGATTGGAGGACAGAGGTGGTGCAGCGCTGGCCAGCCAGCCTGAGAGCAAACAAGTCGCAGGACGACCCGACCAGCCAAGACTCACAGGTAAGTTGCTGACTTTTTGGGAGTGGCGGGCTAGGTCTATGGACTGAGATAGGAGCAAGGGTTTTGTTTTTTTTTGGGGGGGCAGTGTGTGGAGGTTGTCTAATTTGACTGTGAGAGTGAGTCTCTGTTTTGTTTTTTTTTTTTTTGGGGGGGGGAGGGGTGTCAAAAAAGCCCAGTTACAATATGCCTAACAACACCTTGACATGCCTAACCAGGCCTTTTTGTGCAGTAAAGGCTTCTTTCTGGCACCTCGACCATGCAGCTAATTTTTGTTCAAGTGTCATCATATTGTGCTCCTTCAAAACAACCACGCTGCCTTTTTCCAGAGCAGCCTGTATTTTTCTTGTGGTTACCTATGGGTTTCCCTTTGAATCCTGAACAATTCTTCTGGCAGTTGTGGCTGCAAACTTTCTTGGTCTACTTGTACTTGGCTTGGTAGCAAGAGATACCCAAACTTTCCACTTCTTAATAGGTGATTTAACAGTACTGATTGGCATATTCAAGGCTTTGGACATCTTTTTATGTCCTTTTCCATCTTTGTAAAGTTCCATTACCTTGTTACGCAGGACTTTTGACAGTTCTTTTCTAATCCCCATGGCTCAGTATCTAGCCTAGTCAATGCTTCCACGTAAGAGCTAACAAACTCATTGACTATTTATACAGTGACACTAATTGCAATTTAAAAAGCCACAGATGTGGGACATTGACCTCTAATCGGCATTTTAGCCCGTGTGTGTGTCACCTCGTGTGTCTGTACCAAGGCCAAACATTCCAGGGTATGTAAACTTTTGATCATGGCCATTTGGGTGATTTCTGTTATCATTATGATTTAAAAGGGAGCCAAACAACTATTTGATAATAAATGGCTTCATATGATCATCATCCTTCAATAAAAGAGCATTTTTTGGCATGATCAGTCATATTTTCAATATCAATGCCAAATTTCACAATTTATGCCAGGGTATGCAAACTTTTGAGTACAACTGTGTGTGTGTATATATATATATATATATATATATATATGTTTCATCAAGTATTTAGCTGTTTGCCTGGAGTTCAACTTTATGGGCTTATTCACACAGATAGCCAGAGGGTGCTGAAAGCAGGTGGTTGAGCCACTTTTTTTCTGCCCCCCAACGGCCCACCTAAACAATGAAATGCAGTAATCTTTCTGGCTGCTGCAAAAAATTAACATCATGTCGCATTTGGCAAGCGGTACTGCCGCCAAATGCAACCCTTTCAAGTCAATGGGGCTGTGCTGCATCCACGGTACAATGCCACGGTAGTGACCCAGTGAGTCAGAATTTTGTGTGTTAAAGCAAGCAGTGAGGATGTGACATATCGCCTCCTCACTGCCTGTTAAACGCTCTCTGAAAAGCAGCCCACCATGGATCGCTTTTCAGAGGGATGGCAGTACAGCCTAACATATGAATGAGCCCTAACTGACCACTACCACTGTTCTTATCATCAGTTGCCAGGGGCTGGGAAAATGTTGTAATCACCTGTTGCAGATAGCAAAACCTGCTTGGCAAAATGTCATGTAATTCATCTGCAGAGAAAAAGAAAAAAAAATGTTTTTGAGAAGATCAACTAAAAGCCAAAGGCAGAGCCCTAAAATACAATGAAGATGCAATAAAAAAATCTAACAAACGTGACTAATCATATTCTAAAGTATACTTTGTTTATTACTAAAATGGTACTCAAAGGTGGAATTGCACTCTAAATGAAAAAGAATGATTGTAATCAAAGATATTTTTTTTAACTTGTCATCCTCTCCACATGCTCCGCAGTGCTTATCACTGGAGGAAATGTCACCTGACCTTCATTAGCTGGAATTACCTACACAGCGTGTCACCTTTCCAAGTAACCCTGTTAGTAACGGGTCAATGGGATGCTCAGAGAGCCATTATTCAGCAGAATATGAAATTCACTTGTGCTTTTCCATTCATGATGAAAAGGAGCATTGTATGCAGTGCATAGCCTTAAAGTGAGCCTGTCATCCAAAGTGATGGCCTTCTTATTCAGTAGCAAAAAAAGAACCTCTCAAGAAAACAATGAAGACATTTTCAACCCCTTCAGGGCCACCATGTTACACCCTTCCTGTGATAAATTTCAGTTTTCAATGCTGTGATAGTTTCACTGACATTTAGGCCCCTTTCACACAAAGGGTCTGATCAGGTTGCCTATCAGTTTTTCGGGCAGTCCTGATTGGAAGGTCCATTCACCTCTATGGACCCGTGGGTTTAAATGGACTTGTGTCCATTTACACCTGCCTACCTCTGGTCCAGTCCAGTCTGCTAAAAGAAACGGAAGGGGATCTGTCCTCCTCCATCTAGGTGAATCAGATGGAAGGACAGTGGGGTGTAAACAATCAACAGAGCCCATTTACACCCAGCAACCCATAGAGCAGAGCGGGCTCAGTGTGTGTCCACTCTGCATAAACTAAGCAGACACAGACCTGCCATCGAACCGCTCTGTTCTGATCAGCAGGGGATCAACAGACAGATCCCCTGCTGATCAAAATGGAGTCCACCCATGTGAAAGTTGTCTCAAGCCCCGTACACACATGCCAAATATTCACCTAAATCAGCCATTACAGTAGAAACCGGCTGAATTTTGGCTTGTGTGTACAGTTGCTTGTTCAACAGAAGCCAATCTCAAAACCTGCTTCTGTCAAATGAACATACTATAGAAAACCAACACCTGATCAGCATCTGATCAATGCTAGCAGCCAGTGGCGGTGAGCACTGACTGGTGTGGACTGGTGTGTTCTGGTGTGTGTGTGTGTGGGGGGGGGGCAGTCCCCCTGTCAGAACACAATAGCACAGTGGGTAGATCGCTGTACTAACATTGCATAGTTAGTACAGCAATCTCCTCCAAGAAATTAACATATGTGTAGCACTACCCCCTTAGGGACTGCTCATGAATTTGGGTCCCCCTATAGTCCTGCACAGCCAGTCAGTTAGCATCTTCCACACAAGTTTCCATTCATAGACAGAAATCCTGTCCCTCTTGCGGAATGGCTACTGCTACCAGGCCTGGGCTGCTCCTTCTTGCCATACAGGTAGTCCTCTTTCAGGGGGCCAATGTGTCCTGAGTTTTCCTCCTTTCCAGCTCCCTGGTCGCAGACAGGCCCCATCCCACTAGGCCTCCTGGCAGCTTTCCTCCTGCAGCCTGATATCTTCCTGCGTCTCACTCCTCTCCCAACACCACACTCTTGCTACTTGAGCAGGCTCCAACACTTTTAAGGAAGTTTCAGCCCATTGCCAAGCCTCCTGTTGGGGATTGGGTGAAGTCCCTCAAGAGTGTAGCCAGCCACTCCTCAGATCCACCCACTGCCTCCAAGGCCCTCCTCTGAAAGCCTTAGAGCAGGGGGAAATTCCAGAGGGACTGGACTGCAGAGTCTCTCAGTCCTCACCAGAATTCGACCCCTCTGGCTATTTCACCTGAGCTGCTAATCAGCTCCTCACTAACCATTGGGATCTAGCTCCCCCTAGCTAAACTAGAAGGGTGCTACATATGTAACAGGTTTTACTCAAACATGCAACACTGTATCCAAATACATTTTGTATAATTTTTTCGATGCAGACAGAGCTTTCTTGTCAGCCAGCGTGACGGCGCACGGATCTACGCATGCGCAGAACGCCGATGCGCCCTAATCCACTGGCGCCAGGACCCAGGCGGCGGTGGCCACCATGCATGCGCACTCGCGTTCGTGGATGCGCACCTGGCACCAATGACGGCACTGGGCGCCCTATTTAAACCAGCCCTGCACAGACACTAGTTGCCGTATGGTATAATTATCCTGTGTTCCTGTTCCTGTGTATCTGCTGTTTGACTTGTTGCCGACCCTGCCTGATCCTGACCTCTGCTGACTATCTCCTGCTCTGACCCCTGGCTCATTTGACTACTCTCCTGGATAATCCTATCGATCTGAGCTCCTGTTACCGAACCATGCGAGTGACCTGACTACTCTTTGCCTGCTGCCTTGTACTGCGCTGACCCCACTGTTACCAAACCGGCCTGTCTGACCACGCCATGCATCCGTCCTGCACGGATCCAGTCATCACTGCTCAGGCCTTCCGCCTCTTTACATCAGGCTCTCCACCTGTATATACCTCTGGCGGATCCCTCTACCACAGGCGGGTGTACTCAGGGGCCGCGACCTGATCACTATCTGCTCCAAGTCCATCCCCACCATCAGGGGCCATGGCGAACAAGCAGACTGGGACTTAGATTTTGCGCTCTGAGGAATCCTGTTCTGTGGACTGCTAGAGGTACCGCCAGATGGTGTCTGACATTTCTTTTGGTGGTATTTAACCGCCTTCTGCCCGCCATATGGTACAATGACGGGCGCAAGGCGGTTCTCTCGTTCTGGGAGGACGTCATATGACGTCCTACCATTCTAACCTCGCATGCGCGGCTTCTGGAGCGCGCAGCACGGCGATTGGCGGTGCTCTGTGTCCCTCGGACACAGCGGATCACCGATCAATGGAAAGAGCCAAAGATGTCGGCTCGGTCATGTGATCAGCTGTGTCCAATCACAGATGATCGCATGTAAATAGGGAAATGCCGGTTATCAGCATTTCTCTCCTCACGAGCTGTCACGCTGACAGAGGAGAGGCGGTTTTCGGCATCCCTCAGAGGGGACATGTACACTGATCATCAGGGCACTGATGATCAGTGTGCCCTGATGATCTGTGTAGCCCCAGCAGTGCCACCTGTCAGAGTCCATCAGTGCCAGCTATCAGTGCTCATCCATGCCACCTGCCAGTGCCCATCAGTGCCACATCAATGCCATATTTCAGTGCCTACCAGTGCACATCAATGCCACATATCAGTGCCCATCTGAGCTGCCTTTCATTGTCACCCATCAGTGCCAGTCAGTGCCACCTATCAATGCCAGTCAGTGCCACCTATCAGTGCTGCCAATCAGTGCCACCTATCAGTGCCAGTCAGTGCCGCCTATCATTGCCGGTCAGTGCCGCCTATCAGTGTGCATCAGTGCCCGCCAGTGCTGCCTATCAGTGCGGCCTAGCAGTGCCAGTCAGTGCCACCTATCAGTGCCAGTCAGTGCCGCCTATCAGTGCCACCTATCAGTGTCACCTATCATTGCCATATATGAGTGCTGTCTTTCAGTGCCCCTCAGTGATGCCTGTCAATGCCCATCAGTGCCACCTACCAGTGCCTCCTCATCAGTGCTACCTATCAGTGTCCATCAGTGCAGCCTATCAGTGCCCATTACTGCAGCCTCATTAGCGCATATCAGTGAAGGAGAAAAATTTTATAACAAAAACTAAGAAAAAACTTTTTTTTTTCAAAATTTTCAGTGGTTTTTGGTTTGTTTAAGAAAAAGTATAAAACACAGAGGTGATTAAATACCACCAAAAGAAAGCTCTATCTGTGTCAAAAAAATTATAAACATTTCATATGGGTACAGTGTTGCATGACAGCGCAATTGTCATCCAAAGTGCAACAGCACCGAAAGCTGGAAATTGGCCTGGGCAGGAAGGGGGTATAAGTGCCCTATAGGTAATGGTTAATAACCACTGTTTGTTTATTTATTTTTTTACTATATGAAGGAAAAAAGATCAACAATTTTGAAGAAAAAAAAAAACTGTTACTAGTGGTGGCCATACACTAGACGAAAAAGCGTTTGAAAATCTATCATTTGGACAGTTTGTTCTTTTTCGATCAGTTAATAGGCACAAATAGGCACAAAATGATAATTGGTAGTGATGTTTTTGAGCCAAAAAATCAAAGGAAAAGTTTGGAAAAGTTCTGCCGATCTGACGATAAATTGAAAGATTAAAGTGGAACATCTGAGTACCACAAACCAAAAATGCTATTTAATTTATTTTTTATATTCACAGCAAACTCCCCCATCCATCCATGTCTCCATGCTTTATTTTGCTGAGAAATCATTTTGAAAAACACCCCCTGGCATTTATGGCAGTGGCCATCTTGAGTAAGGGTAAATGATTCATGTATCATTTACTTCATGGAGTCCATCTGCCCTTAGCTTAGGCATAGGCTGAGCTGAGCACCCTCCCTCCCCACCTGAAGACTCCTGGGATTTATTACATCATTTTGTTAGGCATGGAAACCAGGAAGTAACTGAAGAAATGTAAACAAAAATTAAAACAAGTAAATATGATATACTTTTCTATCCATTTACTAATGCTAGCAATATAAGGATTAAACATAATTCATGTTAATTGAGAGAGTGAAGTTCTGCTTTAATGTGTTTCTTGCCCATTAAAAATCGAACTGTTGGTACTGTGCATATTTGACCCAAAAGCAAAAAAGGGACGGAAAATTGATTCATTCAGTCATTACATGATGGCAATATTGTTTGCTTTCACGACCATGTTTCCATTTTTCGAAAACCCGTTCAAACTATTTTTAGACTAGTGTATGGCTAGCATTATTGTAATAAAACATCATATCCTCCCAAAATAACCCCTTTGGTCTCTCTAAGGGGATCTAATTTATTTGACAAAAACTTGCTGATATCGATGTGGTGAAGGTGCACTTGGAAATTTAAAAGTCGCCAACTGAAGCCAAGTGCAGGTCCTCCATTTTTAGTAGAAAACAAGTTTCCTGGAGAATGAAATTACATTGTGTGCAATGTCCAAACACAAAACACTATAACCCCCAAAGAACAATCCAACATGGTGGTCAGTAGCATTTTAATACCCCCACCCCACTACCATCATCACTGGTGGTTGCTGGCACTTTAATTCCCACAAAACCATCCCACAACATTGGTAGTCAGTGGCCATCACCGTGATCATAGAACATTGCACATAACTTAGAAAGTAGAGTGTAGGTATAGACTGAGCTTTTTTTTAGTTTGGTCTAGAACAGGGGTGGGCAAACTTTTTGACTTGAGGGCCGCAATGGGTTCATATATTGGACCCGGGGGCCGGACCAAGAGTAGATGAATGATGTGTATGTGTCATCCATAGTAAGTATAGTAATATTCCCCCATAGTAAGCATAGTAATTAATCCCCCATATAGTAATTCATCCCCCATAGTAATTCATCCCCCATATAGTAATTCATCCCCCATAGTAATTCATCCCCCATAGTAATTCATCCCCCATATAGTAATTCATCCCCCCTATAGTAATTCATCCCCATATATAGTAATTCATCCCCCATAGTAATTCATTCATCCCCATATAGTAATTCATCCCCCATAGTAATTCATCCCCCATATAGTAATTCATCCCCCATAGTAATTCATCCCCCATTTAGTAATTCATCCCCCCTATAGTAATTCATCCCCCCTATAGTAATTCATTCCCCATATAGTAATTCATTCCCCATATTAATTCATCCCCCATAGTACTATTCCCCCCAAGTAGTAAGCCAAGTCCCCCCTGTGTCAATTTACTTACCTTTGCTCCGCGCGTTCCTCTCGCCATGTTCCCGCGCCGTTCCGGTCTTCAGGGCGGACTGTGAGAGGAGCCTAGCTCCCCTCACGTTCGTCACGCTGCCCCGCCTACACACATCCTGACAGCCAATGTATCCCGCACCGTTCCGGTCTTCAGGGCGGACTGTGAGAGGAGCCTAGCTCCCCTCACGTTCATCACGCTGCCCCGCCTACACACATCCTGACAGCCAATGTATCACGCTCCGCGCGGGCCGGATTAAAAGGTCCGCCGGGCCGTATACAGCCCGCGGGCCGTAGTTTGCCCATTGCTGGTCTAGAACAAGGAAAGGTTTATCAGGTATATTTTGACTTTCTATGTTGTACACCATATTCAATATATTTCAAAATATATTTAAATATATTCTTCAGATTTTTTTTTAACATATAAAAAAGTCATTTTAACATATATTTTTACGTGTATTTGTAAATGCATTCCAAAAATGTAGATTTGAATTTTCAAAAACACAGTATGTTTGAAATGTATTTTTAAAAATACTTTTCATATATTTTGTAATAAAAATGCATTTCAACATGCAGTATATATATATATATATATATATATATATATATATATATATATATATATATTGAATATAGCCCAAATTGTAGCATTTCAAATATATGTCAATATATTTGGGAAGAATATTTTTAAAATATATTTCAAATATATTTTTCTTCCATGTGGGTAGGGAGATTTCTTTTCACTTCTTATCTTCGTTTAGGAAGTAAGAAGACATTTCCCTACAGTAAAAAAGAAATTCCCTTCTAAGCCAGTTGTTCCCAAGACATTTGTCCCCATAGAAAAGCTGCTGCTTTCTCTTTGTGGATTCTAGTTATATGCCTACAGTGCCCTGTAAATCCTGTCCCAAGCAGGGGCGGACTGACCATTTGGAAACTCAGGCACTGCCCGAGGGCCTGGGGTCAGTAGGGGGCCCCATGAGATGCCCCTGGTACCTTTTTCATAGGCTTTTTTGAGTTTGGGCAAGGACACAGGGGCCCCATGATCCTCTATTGCCCGGGGGCCCCATGAGTTGTAAGTCTGCCCCTGGTCCCAAGTATGGTTTATAGAGAGGTTATAGAGATCAAACAACCAATCAGAAATCATTAAAGTGAACCCTTCCTCTCCCCATACATGTAAGTGTAGGAGTATCTTCACAATCCTCATCAGTAGCTGTTTCTAATGCATTCCTTTTTCCCAAAACATTCAGACCATACAGCTCTTTTACAGACATGCAGATTTTGACTTTCTGTCAAAAGTCACCAGCCGAGCCCTCACTTCATTTCCTTTCCACTCTCATTGGCTGCAGAAAGCAGGGACACATGGACCTGATAGGAGTGGCAGAGGTGCCTTTGACGTGTTTTGATTTACAGGCTGGCTTCTCCTTCTCTGTGCAAGATGGCAGAGCAAGCCCAACAAGGGGAAACCGGGGCCTCTGGACAGAATGCATATTAGTTTTTGTTCACTTCAGGGGCGGACTGACCATTCGGTACTCGGGGACTGCCCGAGGGCCCAGGGTCAGTAGGGGGCCCCCTATGAGATACCCCTGGTACCTTTCATGGGCTTTGTTGGGTGTGGTTTGAGTGTGGGCAAGGACACACAGGGGCCCCATGATCCTCTATTGCCCGGGGGTCCCATGAGTTGTTAGTCCACACCTGGTTCACTGACTATACACCGGTGACTGGCTAATATGGTGAAAGTTCTTATTTGATGGTTATTTCTGCAAACATTGACAGAGGAAAGGGTTGTGTTGAAGTGTGAATAGCATTACCACAGCGGTTGTTGTTTTCCTGAGTCCTCCCCGTAACATGATTTTATTTGCTGCTGATCCTGCCAGTAGATTCCTCATTTTTTCCACTTCCTTTAATAAGAAGACAACGCTGCTTGTTCTATGGTGAACAGAAGCGTTGTCACCCTGTGGATGGGGTAGTCTTACATAAACATATCATTTTAAAATGGATTTTAGGTAACGAAAAACAGCTAACTCTAGCTAATAATTTTACAGCAGCAGATTTTTTTTTTGCTTTTGGGAAAAAAAAGTTTTAACTATATAAACAAAATGCCGACCGTTGGAACATCCCTCTTACCCACGTCAGTGTTAAATGGTTTGTCCCAACCCCTGTTAGAGTCACTGTTGTTTAACAGATTGGCCTGCATGTAAATATGGAAGAAAATATAAACAAAATCGACAAAGGAATGTATAGATATTAATTATTTATATTATCATTTATAATATTAGTACTACAGCTATCAACCCGAGAGAGAATACAATTATTTTACTTACAGTGGTCTTTTAGATCTGAACTCCAGGCAGTTGGTAAAAGGACACATTAATGCAGTTTTAGGGCTCATGTACACTGCAGCTGATAAACTCACATTTAGGAGCTGTTCAGCGTTTTTTCAGCAGCCCCTGAACTCTCCCTAATAATTTCCTATGTGTCCATGTACACTAATAATATTATACAGGATTTATATAGCGCCAACAGTTTGCTCAGCGCTTTACAATATAACGGGAGACAATACAGCAACAA